TCCAAGTCACTGATCAACCTTCCAAGTCACCGATCATCCCTCCAAAGGCTTGATCAACACAACAAAGTCACAGGAGTAAGAGACCTCAGAATAGACGGGCACTCTCTTTCAATTGGCTGGTGGACATGATGTGGAAGTGAGGCTGCTGAGAGAGAGAGAGAGAGAGAGAGAGTGGACCGCCAGCAACAAAAACAGGTTGACCACCAGAGTCCTGCATCATCAAGGAGACAAAGCGGACCCTAACTTACTACTAATATATGGAACACACACACACACACACACACACACACACACACGCACACATACGCGCGCGCACTCAATCCAGGTAAAAACCACATCCTATCCTACATTTCTTCCATCCTAAGGGCGACACATCCCTCCTTCCCTGGCCACGACAGACCCACATCTCCTCCCCAACTTCCATCATATCACCGACACACTCTTGACTCATCCTCCAGGTCACTGCCACACCCTATAGCCACACTGTTGGTCATAAGTGACTTGCTATTTTCCTTTTCGTTGTGTCAAGGTGTGTGTGTGTGTGTGCTATCTCGTCATGGTCAGCTAGTGGTGGAGATGGTGGTAGTGGTGATGCTAGAGCTGATGGTGATGATGGTGGTGGTGGTGGTGGTGGTGATGATGATGGTGGTGTGGTGGTGCTAGTGGTGGTGGTGATAGCAGTAGTGATGGTGGTGAAAGCAATGGTGATGATGGCGGTGATAAGTGTTGATAGCGGTGGTAGTAGAGGCGACGGCGATGATGATGATGATGATGGTAACAGACTTTTAGTAACAACGACGATGATAACAGTAACGAAAGTGACAATGACGACACCATCAGATAGGGGGGTGTACTGTATACTTATGGTTGGATGGTGACTATAACGAGGCCCGCCATCACAGTGTCGAGAAAGTGTAACAAGAGAATTAATAATCAGGCGGTAGACCACTGCCCCAAGTTACACCTCACCTAAGACTCATATATTCTAATGTACACTATGTAAAAAAAGGAGAGAGAGAGAGAGAGAGAGAGAGAGAGAGAGAGAGAGAGAGAGAGGAGTATGCAGTAAAAAAAATACGAAATATGCAACAGGAAAACAGACATGCAAAAGAAAATAGCCGGGAATACAATAGGAAAATGGCTCGATACGCAGCAGGAAAATGCCCGGGAATGCGCAAAATTAATCATGAGTCCTGATAAATACAGTAAAAATTCCAAAATACACAGAAACACCCAAATATGCCTAAAAATTCTACATAACCACGAAAATGTCTAAATACGCAAGAAAATACCAAGATACGCAATTGAATACCAAAATACGCAATACAATACCAAAATACGCAATGCAATTCCAAAATACGCAAGAAAATACCAAAATATACACAAAAATACCCAAACACACAAGAAAATACCAAAATAAAACAGAAAACCGGGATGCACAAGAAACACACGGGAACACACAAGTAAAATTACCCCCCGGGAATGCACAAGAAAAAAAAACACCCGGGCATGCACAAGTAAAAAATACACCCCGGAATGCACAAGAAACACCCGGGAATGCAAAAAAAAAACACCCGGGCATGCACAAGTAAAAAAAACAGAATGCACAAAAACCTGAATGGGAATGCACAAGTAAAAAAACACCCAGGAATGCACAAAAAAAACCCGGGCATGCACAAATAAAAAAAACACCCGGGAATGCACAAAAAACACCCGGGAATGCACAAGTAAAACTACCGCAATGTACAGCAACGAAATATAAATGCAGAAGTAAATGAGCAACCAGGAAAGAAAGCCAAGACTGTTCTCACACGGGAGTGGTGGTGGTGACGGGGCAGACACTACGCCACATAGATCACGCCGCCTTGATCACGAGAGAAGGTGTAGACCAGTGAATCTCACACACACACACACAACGATAAAAATGATTCATTGGATGACCACGACAGACAGTCACGATAGATGAGGAATTGGGGATATCAAACGCAATGAGTACGACGATTTTAAGCACTTAAGTACGATAATTTAGCCCCCTGAATACAATGACTTAATCCCCTGAGTACAATGACTTAATCCCCTGAGTACAATGACTTAATCCCCTGAGTACAATGACTTAATCCCCTGAATACAATGATTGAAACCCCTTAAGTATAATGACTAACCCTTTACGTAAGGTGTCTGAACTCTTTAAATACAACGATTCAACTCATTAAGTACGAAGAATTTCCCGCTTGAATACAATGACCGGGCTGCTTAAACATCGAATGGTATTACAAGCTACAACTCAAACACCTGTCTGTCCTCCAAGAAGTCTATAGATTACTAGCTGGCCCAGTATTGAAGTCACTCTGTGTAAGTGTGTGTAACATCTTCCCACTCCTGTCACTGTTACACAAGGCTGTTATAGCATCGTTTAATAACATAATAGAAGCAAAGGTGAGTGGGAATGACATGCATTACACCAGACCTCATATCATCGTTTAATAAGTGATTCAGTAACTATTTGATATCAGTAATTACCTCATTCCATCATTACGCTTATACAACAAGGTCAAGTTGACTGTATTCTGACCCGTAAAAGCATATTAACTTATATTGCAGCTTACATGAAGTTTAGACATCCCAGCTTATTACACATGGTTATTAAAACAACTGGTGGGTTAGGTTAAGTTAGGGTATTTTAGGTTAGGTTAAGTTCGGGTACGTTTGGTTAAGTTCGGGTACGTTAGGTTAAGTTAGGGTACTTTAGGTTAGGTTAAGTTCGGGTACGTTAGGCTAGGGTAGGTTTGATTAGATTAGGTTAAGGTATTTCATCATCAGGTGAAATAAACTGAGGTATCTCATCTTCAGGTGTTTCGGCAATCCTCCTTCTCAAACACAGTACAAAAGGGCTGAGAAATAATCAACACCTCATTCCATTATCCTCTCATCTTTCTCAAGGCTGTGGAAGCCATCCATTAACACCTGTTTCACTACAATCATCTCACGAATGATTGCTGGTAATCATTTGGGATGGGGATGATTCAACGTGTGTGTGTATGTGTCAGGAAATTGGCATATTTTGAAATAGGAGATGTGAAAATTGTGTAAGTGTAATTATATTTTTGGATGGTGGTGGTGTGGAGGGGTAGGTGGTGGGGGTGGTGGGGGAGGTGGTGAGGGGGGTGGTGGTGTTTAATAGTGGGTGGTGGGTGTTAGTGGAAGTTGGTGGGGGTTTTTTTTTTGGGGGGGGGAGAGAAAGGAAGGGTGAAAGAAGATTAGAGGTGGGGAAAGGAAGTTATAGTTTGGAAATTGAAGAAATTTAGGAGGTAAGAGAGGGCGGGCTGACCGCCTAGCTAAGCTAATAGTGTGTTAGGGTTGTGTCATGGGTTAGTTATTGTCTGTTAGTACAGGCACTAGACAGCCTACCCTGTCCCATATATGGGTGTTTTAAGGGCCTTATTTCATATTCCGCCGACCCTACTGGCGGATGCTGGTCTAGGGAGGTTGTCTATTGCCTGGCCGTGTAGATCGGGGGTGGTAATGGACCTTTTGAGATTTGGTAACTTTTTGGGAACCATGTATGGTTGTTGTCGCTATCTGGTGGGAGTCTTTGAAGGAGTTCTTGCTCTGATAATTTATTAGTTCTCCACATTATGTTGCATTATTTTCACTGCATTACGTAGCGAGTCCATTATATCTTGTTTTTGGTTTTGGGGGATCTCTCAGATTCGTGGTTTGTTCACTGTGCGTCCATTCCTCAATTTTTTTATCATCCCAACGGATGACTTTTGGATGCAGTTTGTTAAATCGACCTGTTTTTGTTTAATGGCCTTGTGGATGGCCGCCTCGAAAATTGGGTGGTCGTACTTCCATTTCATCTTGTACTCAATTACTCCTCTAGCGACTTCATCACGTGTACAGTCCTCGTTGATGTGGTCTGGTACGTAGATGCTTAGTTTCAGGTCTTTACCTGATAGATCGCTTGGAGTCTGAGAGACAGGTGTCATCTCCGGTGTGGGTACTTGTGGTGGTGGTAGTTAGTGATGGTAGGTGGGTGGTAGTGGATGGTAGGTGTAGGTCGGTGGTAATGGATGGTAGGTGGGTGGTGGTGGGTCGTAGGAGGGTAGTAGTGGGTGGGGTGGTGGTGGTAGGTGGTGGGTCGTAGGAGGGTAGTAGTGGGTGGTGGTGGTAGGTGGTGGGTCGTAGGAGGGTAGTAGTGGGTGGGGTGGTGGTGGTAGGTGGTGGGTCGTGGGAGGGTAGTAGTGGGTGGGGTGGTGGTGGTAGGTGGTGGGTCGTAGGAGGGTAGTAGTGGGTGGGGTGGTGGTGGTAGGTGGTGGGTCGTAGGAGGGTAGTAGTGGGTGGGGTGGGTGGTGGTGGTGGGTGGTGGGTCGTAGGAGGGTAGTAGTGGGTGGGGTGGTGGTGGTGGTAGGTGGTGGGTCGTAGGTGGGTAGTAGTGGGTGGGGTGGTGGTGGTAGGTGGTGGGTATTATTGTGAGTGATGAAAATGTCGATTGTAGTGAATCATTATGATCTGAGAATGTGGTGATTGTGGTGTGATGGCTTAGTTTAAGTACCAGTAGAGAATGGTCGTTTATTATATTTAACATTAAGAATCACAATATAATCCCCCAAACATACAAACACTTAAAACATAGAGGCACACACCACAAACACACACTCCACCTGGTGAAATCATCGTCCGGAGATCTTACCTTAAGATAAGTCAAGAATGTGGGCAAAAAAAAACACTCCTGAGTTTTGTGTGAAAGCAGAGGGCGAAGGATGCCCACGCCCACACGCCTAGAATGTCCCAAACATTCGTAAGGTTAATTCTAATCTTACCTTAACAGAGTATAAACATGCAATGGCCGGCTCAACATAATCAAGGGAAAAATACAAAATTGGAAGTTAGGTAATTACGGTTAGGATTCCACCTTCGTATTATGGAGTTAGGGGAAGAGGGATTTTTACCTTACGGGATTTTGAGACTGTGATGGCGAGGACTAAAGCCCAACCTACCTTGTCAGGGGGTACGAGTCGGAATCTCCTCCAGCCGCACGTAGTGACGCACGCTACTCACACTTAGCACATATCCCACTCCCTCACACACACACTCACTCACTTAAAATACACAAACGAGAGACGTATCCACGGATGATCACTCTTTTCATTTAGTTCATTTCATGAAGACATGGTTAGTATCCCCGGCGAAGCGACTCACACACACACTACCACTCTCTAAGATGGCTTTGACCCCACTGAATTCCTCAAAGCTTAAGACCGATACCTGCAGGCCATGTGTGGTTACCAGATGTTGCCAGCGGAGGAAGACGCTAACACCCACACATCTTTCCTGGCACTTTTAACCCCTTTTCTTCATTAATTTCTTCCTCCCTAATCACACACCAATAAAAACGATAAATCAGCTGTTTAGAATAATGCAAAAAAGAAACTTAGGTATTAACACGGAAAGACAAGAAGCTATTTAATATTAACTCCTCACCCACCAGCAACACACCCCAAACAGACAACCACCCCACTCAGTTACCAGACATTGCCCAAAACACATTGATATAATTCTCGTAAACGAATGAAACACATTTATATACAAAGATAAATCACAAAATCTCACCCATAATGAAATAGTATTATAATAAAACGACTGATCTGGACTTTTATTTTTATCCTGTGAATTTGGTTAGATAAAATATAAAAGAAAACGGTAAGTAGTGTGTGTGTGAGTGGGCACCTGTGTTCGTGGACCAATAGAAGGAAGTACACTACAAGACACTAGATCGGGACTCCATTCATTCCCCCCCACCCCCTAACAGGTCAACATTAAAGATAAATAATACACAATACTGTACAATATTACACAATAACCCTCCTCCACTTTGTTAAATACTTCTCATAAGATAAAAACCTCAATCAAATTCCTCGAAATAAACACACACATACACACACACACACACACACACACACACACGCACAATAAGATAAAATCCGATATATATCCATTGTTTATATTTTGAAACCACCAGAATTAAACTCAAAATATAAATATAAATTAAAAAAAGGAAATTATAGCTTCGTTTCCCCACATTACACCACAAGGTCGTAATAATCAGTGATCCATGAACAAATGTGTTTGTGACGCAATTTTTTATACGACCGATAATGTTGAAGAAAAATCTCAAAGTTTCGTTCATACAGGTTGACAACCCTTTATCCGCAGTTCCGAAAACCGAAAAGCTCTGAAAACCCGAAAGTTTTTTTTGTGGGTCTTTTTTTTTTTTTTTTAACAGGGATTAGCCCAACCGGGTATAGATCACTGACCCACATCAGGGCCTGGGGGGCGAAAATGTAATAGTAATAATAATTACAATAATAATAATTATTCTGAGTAAATAAAAATTTTAATAAAAATACACCAAAATGAAATATGATAACATTAATAATAATAATAATAATAATAATAATGATAATAATAATAATAATAATAATAATAATAATAATACTAATAATAAAATTAATAAAAATAACAATAATACAGGAGCACTGTAATAATAATAATAATAATAAAATAATAATAATAATAATAATAATAATAATAATAATAATAATAATAATAATAATAATAATAATAATAATAATAATAATAATAATAATAATAATAATAATAATATATGTAATATATATATAATATAATGTAATAATAATAATATAATAATAATAATAATAATAATAATAATAATAAAAAGCAAGAATGAAAAAAGATCAAAAGTGAGAAACACGACCTAGACCTGGATTTATTATTATTAATTATTATTAATTTTTTATATATTTTCAGGCCCTGATGTGGGTCAGTGATCTGTGCCCGGGTGGACTAATACACATATAATAAAATAAACTAGCCATTCTGAAAACCGAAAAATTCCGAAATCAGAAATCCCTCTGGCCCCAAGGATTTCGGATAAGGGATTGTCAACCTGTATTACCTTTTTGCGTTCAAGAATTATTATTATTATTATTATTATTATTATTATTATTATTATTATTATTATTATTATTATTATTATTATATCCAGAAGCTGTTAACTTACAACACTTAACATAGAAGTGTAGTTTGTCAAGAAGCTCTTTAATATAAAGTAAACTGAACGATGCCTTATTGTCATTAAACCTCAAGGACGCGATTTGTTTTATTAAATATAATAAAAAATTACACGATTTCACGATTTTCTTGACAGATCAGCTCGATGTGTACTCAAATGTAAAGCACAATTTATCATTCAAGCTAGTCTGGGATTCGAAGCACCTAAACGTGACCTACTCTACCCAATAATACCTCCAACTTAAGTTGTTATCGGCCCCAGTCTTTTTGACGTTTAATTATTACGCCTTACTACGTCATTGATTTACAGTAACACTACAACACGAGGCAGGAAATGTGGAGAGGCGGAATTTGACATTGCCAACACTTTTGATATATATTTTTTTAAGTTTCCTATTTGAAAAGGAAACTTGAATGCCATAAAACATATACTAAAACTCTTGAGTTAATCACTGAAATATACTTCATGTTACGGGAGACATTACTACCTGAACCAGACGTTCTTAGTTTTTAAAAAATGTGCATTACAGAGGATGGTTATTGGGTTTGGTTACACTGATTGCCTTTCTAAGCTTTACGTTCTAGTGTTCAAATTCATTATACAGTATTCGCTGTTAACGAAATCACATAAGAAATTGCAATTGCACTGGTATTTTTTTAAGAATTGATTTGTGTTAAAACTGAGAAGGCAGTCTTTCTTAATGTAAGTTAGCCCTGAAGATCTTGGGAAGTTCCTAGTTTTCTTTTCGGAGCGAGAGAGGAAGGCGGTGACGTCAGGGTGGCGGGGCGGGGCGAGAGACACGGGTGCAGGAAGAGCTAGGCAGGCTCCTCCTATCCGTACCACACCAACAGCAACTCACAAACTCGGAGATTGTGTTGACCTCGCTCTCAACAACCTCCAGTGTTGGAAGATTAACACGAACATAATCGCTAAACCGCTGCTATATCTTTTCAGACGAACAGAAACCACGTAATCTAATGTAATCTAACTCCCCTGTTAGTTTTGTTTGAGCTTGGTTGGTTTACGTCGTCTGATAAAATAGTAAATAAGTGTGTCACTGTCTGTCTAGTGATTCTGTCCGTAGTAATAATTTAACATACCTAACTTAGCGAGATATCCTGCTTCATTCCTAACTAGTATTCCTTCAGCAGATCCTTATTAATTTTTAAGATACCAATTTGAGCTCATGTGAGAGGACTCATGGCCTTAATGAATATAACCTGAGCTCAATAATCATACGTCACATCTTGATCTGTCAAGTGCTTGTCCAGTCGTCTCGGAGCTAAACATATTCAGAAACCTGTATTTATTTATCTATTTATTTATTTATTTATTACGACTAAAATGCGGTAAACTCAGTAGAAGGAGACAACACGAGAATCTAATGGAACGGAAGTTTGTGTACTATCATGTGAGTCACACTTACCTCAATAACTGATTTACTTCTCTAAGTATCTTATTACTCATCAATAAACTTAACCCAATCGTTCTGACTTTACCCATTCACCTCTCGGAAGATGTAACAACGAGTACCTGACTCTCTGAGTACAACATAAGGCTTACGATAAAAATAGTTAACATACCACTGAGACTCCCACACCTTGTTGCTCTACCGACCTGGGTTCACTTCTGTAATATTTTGATTGAACTGGATGTGCACACATTTCAGGTATTGTGTATAGATAATCAATGATAAACAGTAAAGTCGACCTAACAAAGGATAGACCAAGAAAGCTGTCGTAGCTATCTCACATTGTGATTTGTATTTCCTATCGCTCGCTGCGGTTCACTGGTCGTGGAGGGGAAGCAGTTGCCGCTATTCTAGTAGGGAGCTTCTACATTCTCGGCTCCATATAGCAAAATCAAAATTGAATCCCAGACTCGGATCTAAGTGACTTACTCTTCTATAAATCACCTCCTAAACCTAAACAGATTAACAAAGTTTATGATAAGAAAAATAAATCAAATTTCCTCAATTATCAATATAGATATTTTATTCTACACATTTATTCACAGTACAGTATAAAAGACCTTAGTATCAATAGTAAAGTAAGTAAATGCATTTCATATACTGACATTTCGGCATATGGTGAGATTATGTATATATATATATATGTTACATAAATTTATTTGTCAGTGGCCCGAGGTTAAAAATGCTTTGAAAACCTTTGATCTAGATGTATGATAGTTATTTTGTGGGTCCCTTTTTTCTGACCTGACCTGGCTAGTCACGTCACCACCCTTCTCTTAAGCTCCTCTACGTGTGTGTTGGTGTGGGGATATGTGGATGTCATCATTATGACCTGACCTCATGTTCTTAGGTCACCCTGTATATTTAAGCCTCTCTCTGTCCATGTAATCCAGTTGCCTCTGAAGATGTCTTGAATAAAGACGAAAGCTAAGGTACTCCGTTGTTTTCCATTTTCCCGTGTGATTTTATCAAGATTTATCTTATCCACGTTTTCATTGTGGATTTACATGAAATATATATATATATATATATATATATATATATATATATATATATATATATATATATATATATATATATATATATATATATATATATATATATAATTATTATATATATATATATATATATATATATATATATATATATGCTGAATATCTTCAGAGGCCTGAAGATGTTTTGAATAAAGACGAAAGCTTTTCCGTGTGATTTTATCAAGATTTATCTTATCCATGTTGTAATTACATGAAAGCGCTGGGAATTGTGTTTTTCTTTTCCTTGTGGTTAAAGATATACCTGATCACGCGCACCTACAGCATTTATATATATATATATATATATATATATATATATATATATATATATATATATATATATATATATATATATATAAAAATATATATATATCAGTGGAATTAGCAGACACTGCGAAAAATACTGTAGATGGGTTGAGAAAAAGGCGTGATAATTTGACATGACTAAATCTTGACTTAAGTACGTTACACTGTAGACAACCCAACACACTTCAAGGCTAGGAGCAGACTGCATGGCTGCTGCTGCCAAATGATTCAGCCAACAACAACTGTTATATGTGTTACGTCACTAATCAGTTATCAACGTGGAAATTTTCATGTAAAATTCACTCCCGAATTTCTTCACTT